CTGTAATGAAATATCAGGCAACCAAACGCTCCCAAATCATCAACAACACATCATAGATCAACAATAGATCACTTAATAGCTCAAACACATCAATATTCTAGCATTTGTACTCATTTCAATCACTAAAATAGACTTCACAGAGTCCAAAAAGCTTATGGGAGTCCATGGGGTTATACCTTTGTAGATTCCTCCTTTGAGCTGGGATTCCACCTTCTTCCCAAGCTAGCTACACCTTCCTTCACCTCCTAAACCTCTCAAACAAACCATACAATTAACCTTAACACTAAGTTCTCAGAGATGGAAGCTAGGAAGGAAAGCTAGAAGAGATGAAATGCTAAGATGAGCTATGAAACTTACTGTGATTTTTCTTGGATGTCTTGTAGAGCTTTTAGGGAAGAAGACAAGGTTGAGAATCAATAGGCAAGGTCTGATAGTGTTCTTATTTATAGAGGTACAAAACCCTAGGAGAATCCACAATGATTGGTGGAGGGTAAAGTGGTAAAAGCTTTGGCTAAAAGATGTATCAGGTAAAGTTTTGGAGTAGTGTGGTTCACCATACTTCATGAACCATGGTCTAAAATCAAGATTTAAAATAGTTTGGTGTTGAAAATGAATTTCCCAAAAATGATTTCTAGATGAACACTTGATTTAGGCTTCTCAGATTTCTCCCGGTTTCACTCAGAATGATTTTTCATTTCAAAACTTGGTACGCAATGTACCCGAAAATTTAGGATTTTAGATTTAAATCACTTCCCGGTTTTGAATTTATTTAAAAATGGCTCAAAATAATTTATTCAAACACCGATTTCATCCCAAAAATTTTATAGAGTGAAAAATGGCTATTTTAGAATTTCTTTAAGCCGAATTTATAAAATTAAATTTTGGGTTGTCACACATGACCTCAAGCATAACAACACAAGTCTCAAACCACCAAACCAATCAAGATCTTGTATATTAAAGGGTAGGAATATCCACTTATGCATGTGAGTGCGCTGGAAGCAAGGTAGTGGGGGACACCTGTGTGGTCCAGAATTAAGGGTGTCAGGTGCTGTCCATTTGTCAACCATCAGTGAATCCTTCAACAGTATAAATATGCACCCTTCCCTCCCTTTTAAAGGCATCCCTTGGCTCACCAAACCCCTCCTGGTCCATTGGTCTAAGTCTTTAACCCCTTTGCTGGCACATCAGGGTTCGAGTCCTATTAGTAACATATTTTATTTTATTTCATTTATTAGTTCCCTTAACTTGTTTAGTTATTATTTTGGGACGTCATTCTGGGCCCGTACCTCGGGCTTTGTACTTACTATTTTGGGTCTAGTGCCCCGGGTAATAAAGCTATTCTTTTCCCACCCCCGCTCTATATTTCTATACCCAGTTTATGGTGGACCCGGTCCCAATAAAACGATCAGTATGTATGTATGTATTGGATCATATAATAACAAGTTCTTAGGAGAAAACTAAAAATCAATCTTGGCCTTACATCTGAAAATTTTGGATGGATCATATCAGTTTTAAAAAAAAAAAAATATATATATATATATATATATATATATATATATATATATATATATATATATATATATAGAGAGAGAGAGAGAGAGAGAGAGAGAGAGAGAGAAAGAGAGAGAGAGAGGAAAGTTCAAGTGCGGCAGTCAGGGACGGAGCCAGGACGGAACAATGCGGGGGGCCGAACTACGATTGAAGTACTAAATTAAATACATTGATATCCCGTTAACATATCTCAAAATAATCATTACATTACAAATTCAATAAAGTTTAGAATAAATTATTTATAATTGAATCTATATTAAATTATTTTGCAATATGCTTTTCAATGCACATTACTTTGCATTGTACGGTTGAAAGAATGAAAACATTCACGCATGTTTTAAAAGACTATTGATTATTTCTTGAAAAACCCTCTTCACAACATAACATAATAGCAATTGTTTTCTCAAATACATATACTACACAATTGTTACATTATTATGCATTTTAAATTAAATACAAAATTTATCACACAACCACAAATTTACATAATTAATCAAACAAATGCACTTGATATCCATGATTTAGAATCAAACAAAACAATTATTTAAGATAAACAATAGAATATGAAACAAAAATTAACCAAACAAGTAGTTATAAATAAAAATAAAAAATAAAAATTAACTTGAAAAATATGCATAGATTTTGTTAATGACAAATTATCTTATTATAACGTATATGCCGCATATATGCATGGTTCTACGCAGAGAAACTAGTAAGTAGGTTAAATGAAATTTAATTTGAATGTGAGTCAACAATATATGGAATACATAATTTGAAATAGGAGAGAACTGAAAAAGTTGAGAAGATGAAAAAATTTATAACTTTACCTGTAAGATTAATTAAGTGGAGGGGGCCAAATATTTTGAAAAAACAACAAAATTTTAAAATTCTATATAATATTTTTTTAAAAAAATTTTAATACATATATAATATTAAAAATTTTTGGGGTGGGGGAGGGGGGCCAAGGTCCCCCTAAACATACACTTACCTCCGTCCCTGGCGGCAGTGCACTTAGGTGCGGCGGTGCGGTTAATTGTAGGCCATTAGATTAGATAAATCCAACGAATCACATTCATCAAGGCTTTTCCGATATTTTCGCGCGCGTTCTCACAGTACGCGAACTGCAAGGTTAAAGTCGTCATTGGGCACCAGAATATATCAAATCATAGTGTTGTGTGTTTTATGTTCATTATTGGTGCATTATTAATCTTACTGTGGTGTATTTGAGAATTCGTGTTGGTGCCTTCCCGAGCGGTCAGTGCGACCGCACTAATAGTTATACAAATATACACCATCCATGTTAGAAAATGCACACCAAAAAAACATGCACAAATTCGATACGCATCACCAGAACGCACCACTAGGTATTGACTAAAAGCATCACACAGTGTTCAGAATACACCATTGGGGTGGTGAGTTATATGGTGTATTTTTTGGGTGTTTTGTGTGTTTTTTGGTGTATTTGTGTATTTCATTGTGGTGCTTTTTCCTAACACTATTGGTGTCTTTTGATAACATTGTTGGTGTATACTGACAAGCGACCGATATAAATAACCACTACAATTACCATAACACCCCCACTTACCAGGACGCACTTAAATCTTTAAATCTTCAGAAATTAGCTGCTGCCGTTAGATTAAGCAGAATGGACGACGCTGATATGGCCGCACCGCCGCATCTAAAGCCACTGCCGCATATGAGCCTTATTCTATATATATATATATATATATATATATATATATATATATATATATATATATATATATATATATATATATATATATATATTGTGGCATTTTCGTAATTATCGCCAACTTTACTATGCAAACTTTAACACTAAATTCTGCACTTTTCAGAATTTCTCAAGTTTGCACATTTAGTATTAACATATTGCATAATTAGTATTCAAAGATTGCACTTGCAAAGATGCAAAAGTGCATTACACTTAGGCTTCGGATTTTAGAGTTTATGATTAAGTTTTTTTGTTTTATTTGGTTTTGGGGTTTTACTTTTTACTGCTTAGGGTTTAGCATTTATAGTTTAGATTTAAAATTTTACTTTTTCATTAATTTTCTAAAATTTATCTAGATTTGCATATTTAGTTGTTACATATTGAATATATTCAGATTCCAATTCTTATTTACTATCAAACAAAAGATTTCTCTTACATAAACTCGTTACCATTATCAAATATTTGATTCTAATTATCATTTCGATTCCAATATTTGAACGGAAGGACCCTAATTGTTATTTGGGGTGTACGATAACATTTATAGTCACATATTCACAAGGTCAAAAGACGGCAAATTATACCATGCACCAGGGCGCACAATGCATTGTGCGCCCTGGCCCAAAACGACGCCGTTTTGTTCCCTTTCGCGTTTCTGCTGTTCACTCCTTAAAAAAATTCATGTTTTGAATGTACCAAATTTTATAATAGAAAACACAGAATTTTATAACTGAATCCACATAATCTTTTTTGAAAGGATAATACACGTAATCTAACGTAATACATAATATACATAAACTCTTTACATAATACACATAAACTCTTAACTCTTTAAAAAAAAATCTATATTTTGAATGTACAAAATTATTATATAATAGAATGTCCAGAATTTTATACCTGGAAACACAGAATTTTATAACTGAAAATTCTCATGTTTCGAATGTACAAAATTATATAATAGAATGCACAGAATTTTATACCTGAAATTAACGAAATGACGTCGTTTTGGGAGACGCGGGGCACACATTGCTATGTGTGCCGTGGTGCACGATATAATGATTGTTAAAAGACCACTAGCTGTCCATTGCAAAGGCAAAAATTACTTATTTATTTGTGATACATTAGGTATCCTTGCTTAAATTTCAAAAAAAAAAAAAAAAAAAAAAAAAAAAAAAAAAAAAAAAAAAAAAAAAAAGGTATCCTTGCTTAAACTAAACTAATCCTAAACTCCCAAGTTGTTCGCAAATTATTCTGTGGGTCTAGGTCCATCTTGTAAGGTGGACCCAGATCCAAATATTCACAATTTATTTTTTAAAAATTCACAATCTGTATGCTACAAACACACAATATTAACATATATGTAATTGATTACCTTGTTTTGCATTCACAAATTGTTTTCAAATACTATAATTGATTACCTTTTTATAATCTTATAAATCCTCTAGTTTTCACCCTTGTTGTACACTCTGTGCAGAAGAGGTCTTCATCTCCGTTTGTCGCTAAAGCAAGATTTGTTAATCAATCAAATCAACTGAGTTAGTCAACCATGGCAAATCACCCATGAATTTGTTCCACTACATTACCGTTTGATTCACTGAAAAAAAAAAAAAAATATCTCACAAGCTTCGCAATGAATGAAGTCTGGTGAAAAATGTAAACATATTTGCAGTGTAAAAGTTTGAAGCTTGGTGGTGTAGCCATGAATAATGAGAAAAAGGTAGGAGAGAGTGGCATATGATATAGGAAGTATGAAGGAGTCGACATTGCTTATTACAGCAGAATGAGTAGTTGTGTGAACAACAACATCGACACCAACATCAACATCAACATGCAACCTAACATAAGTCTGGGCTAAGAGGTGTTATAGTAAAGACACAGATGGAGTCTGCATGCTACAAATCCTTTCTACAATTTTACAACATATGGAATATGTCCCATCAACAGTCAGAGTGTATCTATCATTAACAATTGTCAAAATAAGCCACAAGACTGATCTGAGGTGTTAAAACTGGATTAGATCGAGAAGCAACTCAATTATTAACTCCATCTCCATCTCGTGACTCAAGAGCTTGGCTCCTCGGGTTTCCCGCCATTCACTGTCACTTCCCCCTCTACTTTGTTCACCTCGTTGTTAACTGAATCTTTCTGCTCCTCCATTGTACAATCCTTGTGTTCATGTTTCTCGACTCCTGCTTCGTTTGGCTTTGCATCACCAGTGCTACCCTCTTTGTCGTCCTGCTTCTCTGCTGTTGCCTGCTTACCTTTATCATCTTCAGCATTCTTCTCCTCATCTTCAGCATTCTCTACCATTTTGACATCTTCCCCAGCATTGGTCTGCATTTCCTGTTCAGAAGGAGCATCTTCTTCTGCTTTGCCATCATCAGCAATTCGGGTTTCATCTTCATTCTCCTTCGTGCCATCGTTCTTGGATTCCTCAGTCTCATCTTCCTTCTCCTTGGCATCACTGTCGGGATCCACAGCTGCAGAATCCTCGGGTTTTTCCTCTTTCTTTGGAGTTGACGATTTTCTGCCTCGTTTTTTAGGAGGCTCGCTTTCAGGAGGCGGTGGAGCAGTCTTCGCCTTCTCGCTGATCCTTGCTGATCTCCTAGGGGTTTCACCAGTTCCCCAGTCAAACTCGGATATCGGAGGACCACCAGGGTTGGATTTCAGATACTGCTCCAACTGCTTTTTGCTAGTGAACTCTTCCCCAGTTGGAGAAGTAAATATGATCTCATTTTTCTTTGCTTTGGGGATAAACTGCAAAGAGCAAAGAGACGGAAATTTAGATCAATCTCTCGGATTGGGCTAAAGCGAAAACGATACATCATAGAAGAAAAATCCAATCAGCAGGAGAAACAGTATTTTCTTATGCAGGCAATAAATGTAGCATTAAGCAAATTTCCAGATACATCAATAACTAGGAAAAATCAATCAAACAGTCGCCCAACTGTACAAATACACAGTTTAAACATGGAGACCCTACTGTTTTGCTTATGGGTTCACATGCTGATATAAAAACCCATCACATATATAATGCATTAACATATTAATTATTAAGACCTCTCCAGCTGGCACAACTAACACTAAATTGGAAAGTATAATTTGGCATGCATATTGCATAATGCATTGCCAATTATCAAAACAATATGCCAAGTATTGCCCATCTACTTCTCTTTCACATGAACCTACGAAAAGCAGCAATTTGTTGACAAAAAGCAAGAGTTTAGAATCAATTCATATCAGTAAACCATAGAGGCACTAGTTTGATGGATGACAAAATTTAATGACACTGAAGCTGGTAGAGGCATAGACATCCTAACAATAATAGTTTGACAATAATATATCATTGACAAACCTTAGAAGTGGAAGGCTGTCCATATCTATCGGGATGGAGGTCAACAAAACAGCAGATGCATGCAGTGATCAATTTTGGGCAGCAGGTGAGATTCAAGTCATCGTTGAAGAGAACGGGAACACTTGTGCAAATGAACTGTTGGCCTTGGCCCCCTCAATTGCACCAAAACAAATAAAATAGAACAAAAAGTTCACCTTAAAACAATATGTTGGCACTATGGCATCAAAACCTTAGTTTTCAACTTGGCATAAATAAAGAATCAAAATGGATTTTTATAGGTTTTAGAGTTTTACAGGGATTCTGAAAAGAGGATCAAGTAGTGCTTTTCACAGTAAACATATTAGTCAAGGAAAGTAATACTTCATACAGATGAAACATTTTTTAGTAGAAAAAATAGCCCCTGTACAAGCCTAAGAGGACATTTTCTCTTATCTTGTGGATTTGGCTACTTGGTAAAGAGATGTTATAGGATTATGTAAAATTTGGGGGCCCAAGAGAAGTGAATAAAATTTATATGTTTTTAGTCCATAGCATTTGTCAATGACATCAACCCTTGTCCTAAGAAAAACACATAGATGACAAAGAATGGTAAAAGTAAAAGGGAAACATACTGTTATAGACATGTTAGGAGAATAAATGATCCTATAAATCTTTTGCAATGAATGTGATTGATGGAAAAATATTTAACACATTTAAAAGCTTTTAGATGAACAAAATTTCTATATGTACATAACTCAGAGGGCACTTCCTCTTTCTTGTGTGTTTTGGTAAAAAAATGTCCTTGGGATGATGCACAAAGTTTTTGAGGCTCAACTTTATATTGTTTAGTCCATGGGTCTTGATAATTGGCATCATTCCTAGTCTCACTCAGAAAGGGAAAAGATGAAAAGAAAGGTAAAATAAGGAAAAAATGAAAAAGAACATTATATATCCAAGCACAGGTAACAAAAAACAAATACCAACCAGTTTAAACAAACAATCAGAGTGGTACAGTAGAAGCATGGTGGGTTTATAACTCACAGGTCTCAGGATCAAAACATGACTTTGATATGTAATCCCTCTAGTTTTTATAAAACACCCTTTTCACTACTTTGCACTATTTCCTCACAGAGTAAGATAGGGTTGCAAAGACACCAAACAGAGATATCAATATGTTTTTTGACCTAAACCAACTATTGGGCCCATAACCCACAGGTCCTAGGATCGAACTCTGACTCTGATATAGAGTGGCTTCCACCTCTGGGTATCCTTTTTTGATCAACTATATTTTTTGGCTTCAAACAGCTAATACGACAGCCTAGTGGGGGTTATAAACACCCTTTTTGGCTTCAAACAGCTAATACGACAGCCCAGTGGGGTTATAAACACCCTTTTCACTACTTTGCACTCACTCTCTCACATTCCCTCACACAGAGTGATAGGGTTGCAAAGACACCAAACAGAGATATCAATATGTTTTTTGACCTAAGGCTACCATTCCTATCACATCACATTTAAGCAAACAATTAGAGTGGCGTAGTGGAAGTGTGGTGGGCCCATAACCCATAGGTCCCAGGATCGAAACTTGGCTCTGATATGGAGTTGCTACCAACGACACCCCCCTCTTCTATAGTTCCAGAAATAACCATAGCGCTTTGCCTCTTAAACGGAACACCACAAAGTCATGGTATAATTTTATCATCTCTTATATATATATATATATATATTCTTTCAAGGCAAAAGCTTAGTCAATGTTATGAATAAATTGATTCCAGACTGAACCTGATGCCTTTTTACATTTTTTCAACACCATTTTTCACTCCTTACTATCCACCCAAATAAGCAATTGATTATACACAGTAGACATTAGACTTCAACATATCTGGCTACAAAGTTTGAAACTATTATCACATTTGACATGTCCAAGAATGTCTCTTTTTCCATTACATGCAACAAATCATGAAAACATCAACCAAATTTCTTGTAACTTTTTCTGGGCCTCTTTTTCCCAGGTTAAATAAATTGATTCCAGACTGAACCAATAAAGCTTGCTCCAATCCCAATCGATACTAAAATAAGATATCTTTCTCTGTCTGCTACACATCCTTCACTAGGATAAATATCATAGCCCTGAAGTTGAGTGCCCATTTCTGCAAGTATAGCTTATAAGAGTTTATGTGCTAACTGCTAAGAAACAATGAGGTTTAAGCCCCAATGGGTGACAAAGAGCCACCACCAGCCTGTAAGGTAAAGCTCTTTGTGTTGAGCTACAGTCAAGATATAAGATGGATTGATAACTTGATTACTAGGTTGATGATAACTTCAACATATCTGGCTACAAAGTTTGAAACTATTATCACATTTGACATGTCCAAGAATGTCTCTTTTTCTATTACATGCAACAAATCATGAAAACATCAACCAAATTTCTTGTAACTGTTTCTGGGCCTCTTTTTCCCAGGTTAGATAGGCCAAAAGACAGTAGTTGGTTCTTTGAACTGTACCAAATCAGGCAGCTTCTAATATATCACAACCTAAGGCAGAAAACTCAGACTGAAATCAATACTGCAGCTACAGTTATTGAGCAAGCAGCCAAAAACAAAAATACTCAAAATACAGATCAGTCAAATTCCAGAAAAGGCAGGTCTGCAAAAGGCCAAACATATGCACTAAGTCATGACTAAAGACATTGGAAAGTAGTTCCCTGACCTAACTGCAACAAATAATTGAACTGGCAAAAGGATAAGGCGGTAGAAAAATCAACAAGCAAGAACCAAGATAAACTCACAATCAGGCAAAACATAGTAGGAAATCTTCAAATAGAGGCCCAGCCAATACTTAAGTTATAATTGTGGAGAAATACTTCTTTCAGGATTTAAGCTCCAGAGTTGTAAAAAATAAAACCCCCCCAATGTATGAAAACAAAATGGTTTTGAAAAACAAAAACAAATCACCAACTAACCAAAGTGTAAATAAGTAAAATAACACGTAAGAGTAAGACCTGGCTTTCAAACTAAAAAACTAACAGCAGAAATGTGCAATTGCCCACACCTAAGCAAAGGCAAATCCCAATTCACTTAAAAGTACTGATAGTGCTTACATATAAAAGAAAATAATAGAACAGACCCCAATAAGAATAATAAAAAATTAATAATAATAAATTTTCAAATCTATATATATATATATATATATATATATATATATATATATATATATATATATATATATATATATATATATATATATATATATATATATATATACACACACACACACACCAACAACAACAACAACAACAACAAAAGCAAAGAAAAAAAAATAGCAAAACAAAAAAAAAAGAAAGATTGGTAAAGTAAAAAATGACAGAAATTTGAAAACTGCAGGGAGAAATGTAAACTTCAATTATGGAGCCCTGCAGTGAAATCAAACACCCATTTTGTAAAGTACTAGCTTTCTAAATTTAATACCTACCAGCTAACATTAAACCCTTGCAGAGAACAATTAAAGCCCCAATCTCCATTTAAAACAACTACATAACTCTGCCCATCTCCTTCACAAACCCTATTTGCTAAAATTTGAACCGCCTAAACAGACCCAAAATTTCAGCTCCAAAATCACACAATTAAGCATACCCAAATCTCAATTCATACCAACAGCACAGAATCAAAGCTAAAAAAAAAAAAAAAAAAAAAAAAAAAGCTTGCAAAATTCCAAAATATAAGAACTTATAGAAAAGCAAGAATTCAAGCTAGGAATTATCAATTACTCCAAATTAAATAATACCCAAATCCCATTTTTATCCTACACAAGAAATTCAAGCTCAGAGAAAAGAAGACTCATCTCAACAATTCAAATTTCAGTAAAATTAACCCCCAAAAATCCAGCTCAAACCGAAAGAAAAAAATAATAATAATAAAAAGAACAAAAGAAGACTACCGTTTTTTTCCAGGCAGGAGGAGCAGGGAGCTCCAAGGACGCAACTTCATTCTTCTCCCCAGATGTGGCCATGCTTTCCCACCTAACCCAAACTTGAGAAAGCTCTCAACGTTCTTGCTATCGCTATGCAAAGAAACTAAACGAACGAACCAGCCAACCAACTTATTTATATTTCTTTATTACTCACTCCGTATTTTTTAATTGTGAAAGTAAAAAATTAGATGGGGTAACCTTCCTGACTTTTTTTTTTTTCCTTTTTTAAACGGTAAAAGCAGATCACGTTGTAACTTAATTTTGTCTTCACTCTTCAAAGTTCCAAGTTTTTTTTTTGTTGTTTTTTTTTTTAATCCTTCAGCTATTATCTTTGTTTTTTTTTTTGAAAACCCTTCAGCTATTATCTTAGTCCTATGAACATCTGAATTCTGAAAACTATTCTTAGTTAGCTAAAATGTAAATAATCTTCTAAATTTAATTACAACAATTTTTCACAATATCTTTTTAAGGTAAAAATATATGACGAAAAAGTCTTACTTAAAACTCACTCCTAACAGAATGTGAATGTTCGATTCCTGTCAAGAATATTATAAATTTATATTAATTTGATGTTGAATCTCGAAACTATGAACTATAATCTGGAGGTGAGTTTGTGGAGTCTAAGATGTAATCTAATGAAGCCAGGAAACAAAAAATAAGTAAAAAATTAAAAATCATACTTTTTAAATTTTTATAGTATTCATAAGAAATTATACTTTTTAATTTTTTTTTTTAAATTTGTTAGAGATTTAGTCTTATATTGCAAGTTGAGATACTAGTACAAACATACGGTATAAAAAGAAGTTTGTAAACAAATAAAAGAAATATATTTTGTATTATGAAAATACTAGAAACAAAAAAAAATTTCCACATAAATTTCTTTTTGAATGCTACTGACTCTATTACATCTCAACAACGCCTCTATTGAGACTCAATCTTATAACCTCCCACAGGGAGAAGTCATTACATGTCATCTGAGCACAAGGTGCTTGACATTTTTACATAAATTTAAATTGGGCACATTAATACGTAATGTTATTTTAGTATTTGATGAATAATTATAATAAATATAAATACAAATGTGTGTAAACAGTATTTTCTTTGCGTTATTACAAATGTAAACTAAAATTAGAGGTAATAAGGTTGTTTATTTTATGTTGTTTCTGCATTTATTTTTTTATTATTATTTTTTAGTTTAATTTTACCACCGCGTATTTTTCACACTAATATTTTATATGCATAGTGTGCAAAAATAATACCCAATATTAATGATCAACGTTAAAATTTTAGTTATATTAAAATATATTTTTTAAAATAATTGTGTGTGTGTCTATATATATATATATATATATATATATATATCGCACTCAGGTGCGAATGTTTCACCCAGGCGCGAAATAGAAATGGATTCTGTCCGTCCACGTGTCCAGATCTAATAGATGAGAAACACTGATTTTTTTTAAAAATGCGGTGGCATTTTCGTAAATAATTGAACATCGAAGTGCAAATAAAATGTATTACAAGTGCATGTAAAATGTATTATCGGTGCAAGTAAAAATTTACACTGAGCATCAATACTTAGTTGCACCTATAGTTATAAGTAGTTGCACCTATAGTTCTAAGTAGTTGCACACATAGTTATAAGTAGTTGCACCTAGGTGTATGAACGTTTGCGAGTGGTTTTCAGGGGTATTACTACCCGTTGAACTCAGATCAATGAATGTTAACAAGGCAGAATTACATGCACTTATAGGTGAAAGTAGGTGCACCTATAGTTATAAGTAGTTGCACCTATAGTTATAAATAGTTGCACATATAGTTATAAGCACACCCAGGTGCATGAATGTTTGCGGAAAGTGAATGCTAACAAGGCAAAATTACATGCACTTATAGGTAAAAGTAGGTGCACCTATAGTTATAAGTAGTTGCACCTATAGTTATAAATAGTTGCACAGATAGTTATAAGCACACCCAGGTGCATGAATGTTTGCGGAAAGTGAATGCTAACAAGGAAAAATTACATGCACTTATAGGTGAAAGTAGGTGCACTTGTAAGTGATTTTATTTGCACTTCGATGTTCAATTATTTACGAAAATGCCACCGCGTTTTTTTTTAAGTTATTAGATCTGGACACGTGTCACGCGCTGATTCGTTCGCATTTCCCTCCTGAGCACTTATTCGCACCTGAGTGCATCCCTCTGTATATATATATATATATATATATATATATATATATATATAGTTTAGAATTCATATTCATATTATTGAGTAAGAATTTTAGAAATAATAAATTACTAAATATAATTATGGTAACATTTAATTAAAATTTAAATGAAATTAAATTTATCATTGAAGATTGTAAAAAATATAGTGTATGTATGTGCATGGTAATAATAATGTATAAAGATAACAGACGTTATAAGTTATAACGTCTGTTATCTTTTAAAAAAAGATATTATATATATATAAATAATTTATTTATTTATTTTTTAAATATGGCCTGGCCCGCGGGCCGGCCCATAACCCGCGCGGGCTCTGACCCTCCGCTGGCCATGCCCGTTAGGCCCGCATTTTCGCGAGCCTAATTTCTTGTGGCCCTAACCTGCCCTATCATGGGGCGGGTGCGGACTAACCCGCGAACCTAGTTATAACGGTATAGATATTTTTGTCTAAAAATTTGTGTAGTTCAAAAATTTGATAGTATAATGTACAAAAAAAAAAAATTAAAAAAAAATTAACAGAAAAAATGGATATAAATCAAGAATATAATCTGTATGAAGACTTATTATGTTTTTTAAATTAGATATTGAAGATCTATTATTGTCCTAAATACTGCTTTTTTAATTTCATTTTTGTTACTAAAGTGGACGGGTTGTCCTAAACGGCCCAACCCTATTCATATTTTTGTTGGGGGGTATTTTCATGCACTTCCTTGTGTGAAACAATGACTCATAACGGTCAATCAACTCAAAATAAGTTTATAAGTTTAATTTTGTTAATTTTTATTTTATTGTAGCCTTGTAGTTATGACTTGTACGCCTATAAAGGCACCTCCTCCATCAGTCTCTAAGACACGAGTGGTGATGAGTCCTTAAGTTTGGAATTCAAACTTATATAAATAAAATTCAATCAATATTTTTTAGGCATTTATATAATTTTAAAATAATAAACTTTTATATATTTTAAAGAATATTACAAAATTTCCTCATACTTTTGTAAATTATGCAGGAGCCCTTAAGTTTTTTTTTTCGGGGTGGGAGTATTAGGACTAGTATTAGGACTCTATGTATTTGAGTCACATTATGACTCCCTCTTATCCTAGTCTCCCTATGATTCCTACTCCCTATCCTAGTCTCTTTATGATTCCTCTTGTATATATTCCCACAGTTTGTACAGTTGTTATACAGTTCATTCAATACAATTTTATACAGTTCTCATCTGGTATCAGTTACCTAGAGTTCATAATAATTATTATTGTCGTCATTAATAATAATTATTACTGATGGCATCGAACTAGGATACACCGTATGAGAAGCGGTCCAGGCAGCGACGTAGTTTTAAAGTTTAGAGTCAAATTTGTGATGGTTTCGGCCACACGGGAGCCAATTGTTTTTGGCGCTTTGACGAATAGTGTCAAATTTGCAATGGTTTCGGTCACACAGGAGCCAATTGTTTTCGGCGCTATGATGAACAGTGTCAAATTTGTAATGGTTTCGGTCACACGGGAGCCAATTATTTTCGGCGTTATTTAGGGGCTCCAGGTTCTCAGGCTAATTTGGTGTTTCGGAATAGTTTAGGTACTAAAACCTCGTCAAATTCTCATACTTGGATTCCGGACACTGGAGCCACAAATCATGCAACTCCAGACATAGCTGCCCTTTCTACCTCGGAGAAGTACACGGGTAATGACACTTTAAGTGTCGATGATGGTATGGGTCTGTCTATTAGTCTCGCTGGTCATGCTACTTTTAATACCCCTTCTAGGTCTTTTACAATGTCTGATATATTGCATGTTCCTGGTCTGTCTGTGACACCCTGTAAATCTAAACACTAATCGAGGATTAATTGAAGAATTAATCCAAGTTTTCTTGTTAATCCCTTTCCAAAAATCCTGAAATTTGATTGTCGAGGGACTAGATTTTGACTAGTCACTTAAGTCAAAAGGGTGTACCTTGTGTGTAACACCCTAGATTTTTGAAAATTTTAAAACTTATATAATGAAGGTAAATTCTTAATAAATTCCAAGCAGAGCAGTACTAACATAAGAATACGGCGTGTTATGCCACATCTGAGCTAGAGAGCTCAGATGCACAGGCTAGACTATCTAATTATCCTTAAACAACATCATTACATCATTGTGGCACGCAGGCCGAATATGAAACTATCTATCTAAGCCTCGGGTCCTCTAGCGCGCTCCGGAGCTAATCATCTGTGCCTGAAAGCCAAATATATCTGTTCAGCGAATAATGCTGGTAACCCACTCTGTTAGGAATAAATTGTAATAGTTTTTGATATGCCATATTGTAAATCGTAGATCACCAATTTTATTTTGGTTAGACTAGTTGAGTCATAGACCAAGAAAGGGAAAAATAAATTCATTAGTTGAGGAAATGGATGAAGAAGATATAAAGCCTAAAATCAAGAATTTGCCTAGAGAAAATGGCAAACAAAAGAGGAAGATGTATGCATATGAAAATATATATACAAGTTATGAAGACTATCATCCGAAGAAGAAATCTCTCAAATATCCAAGAAGAAATCTCTCAAGAAATCAAGAAAAAATCCCTCAAGAAATCCCGAAGAAGAAAGAACGTGACTTGAAGTTTGCATGAAGCTATTTTGAAGATCAAGCATCTATAGAAAGAAAGGAGTACACCAAGTGAAACAAGATGATAACCAAAAGGCTGTACGGACGAGTTGGAAGAAGCTTGAAATATTATATGTAAGGTTACAGGTTCGAATCTCACATCCCAGTTTCTTAAAGGTGAAATTGGGATGCAATTCCAAGGAAGGGATGACTTGAAGTTTACATGGGAAGAGATATAAGAAAACATATATAAGAAGAAGAAGTTGCCAGAAGCAAAAAATACTAGTAAGGGATTA